GACCCTCCGTCGGCCAAAACAAACAGAAGATCTAAGGGAACCTTCCCCAGGAGGCACAAGAACATCCAACAAAAACCCGAAGAGCACTGATTGTATCCACCCCGAGCCGGCCTCGACCTTATACCTCGGTCCGACTGCATGGCGATCCCAATCCCCGACCCTGGGGGCGGGTTCGACTATCCAGACCTCGAAGAACGAACAACGGCATGAACCGGAACTATTGGCGGTCCGTGCGGATTTTCTTGGATCGGCTGTGGGCCCCCCTGGCGCTCTCCGCGCGCCGGGGAGGGGTCTCCAGCGCCAATCCAGGAAATCCACGTGGCCCTCCCAGACCCCCACCATCCCAGCACCAAAGTTGGGGATGTGGGGGCCCCAATCCCCGACTCTGGGATACACAGCGGGGGGGCGTCCATCCTCATAGGGGTGCGTTCCAATAGCCCCCTGGGGGTATATATCCCAGAGCTCCCCCCTTTTCTGAGCGGCCAGACTTTTCGGGCGGGACTCGGGGAGAAGAACCACCTGCGACGCCACTCCCTGTGTTGGCCGATCCCGCTGGCCGCTGGCCTGGGCCTCCGCTGCTCGTGCGCAGCTCGCATGTGTTGAGCAGGGGCCGACCGTCCCGGCAGTCCTATAGACCTACCACGAAATGTTCTCAGAACCCAACAATGTTCTAAGAACGAAAACAATGGTCTTAGAAAATGAACCCGATGTGTTCAAACAAGACAGACTCGGCCAGAAATGTTCTAAGAAAATGTCGTGGAAACTACAAACAGGTTCTTAGAACATTGCTTGGCAGGGCCCAGGGCGAGCCAGGACGCTTCGCCACTGCTTGAATGTGCGTTCTATACTACGGCATCCCCGCGCCGGCTCTCATGGTCTGAGCGGGCTTCTCCCTTCTCCCCCCTCGCGCCCCGCTCCCTTTGGCTCTCGTGCCTCGCTTCGTTCCTGGTGCACCCCGCCGCTTGCTCGACCGGCGCCTAGCTGTGTCTTGGACTGCCTGGTGCCCGCGGACTTGGAAAAGGTTTGGCCGACCCCTGGACTTATGATACTCCCATCGTACTTAAGGACCACATCCCAGAAATAATTCCGAGCGCCCAGAAAAATGTCAAAAGAGTGTCGAAACAGTGTCGAAACAGAGTCTCCCAGGGCCCGACCGGTGAAAACCCTCGAGTTCTGGTATTTCTTGGGGGGGCTCGACATTCTTTCTCGTGGTCATGGCTACTGTAGGTTGGAACATCATAACCCTGGACAGTAGAATGCTCGTCCTCCGCCGCCTCCTCCCCGATCGCCGACAAATTTGGTGCCCGGTCCATCCGGGGCAGCCGCTCCTCGAGCTCGGCCTCCGCGGCCCGTGCCCGGGCCGCGGGGCCATCAACAACTCGGGGGCGCGCAAACACGGACTGGCGACTCATGGCTTTGGCGCGCGGTCGCCAAATCCATGGATCGGGGGAGGCGCCCTCCCCAACATGCGGACGGTGCCGCCTCGTTCGGCGGCGGAAATCCGCGATTGCCCGCAGAAGCCGGACCCAGCGCTCATCCACGCCCCCCTGATCCAATGTTTGCGATCGCCTGAACAGCGGACCCAGGACGAAACACCACCCCTGGGGAAGGGGACGGGGCCCCTGGGGCCGCGCACTGAACAAATCAGATATGAGCATGCCTGGGTGCATGGGGGAAACGGGTCCTGAGGAAAACGGGTCCTGGCCCCGGGGGCCCCTTCAGGAAAGGCGTTCTTCACCCGGAGTCGTTTTCTGACCGTCCCAGGGCCCGTGGAGACCCCCGGACGCCCGAAGACTGCGAAAAACGTCAGGACGCGCTTCCCGCAGGGCCTGCTTCCCCCACAACTGATGGGCCTGTTTTCCACCACCACCACCACCATAGGCTGGATGGTAGAAAGGAGGAAGAGGAGCACGAGGAGGAGGAGCAGGAGGACGAAGAGGAGGACCAGGAGGACGAAGAGGAGGAGGAGGAGCAGGAGGAGGAGAAGGAGGAGGAGGAGGAGGAGGAGGACACCCTCCCCCTCTCCAACTTCTGGTAGTGGTGGTGGAAAACAGTCCCACGAATAACTGCCGGCTCCCCACCTCCCCACCGCGACGCGGCAAGGCGCCCGCGCACAGAGCGGAGGACACGCCCCCGAGGCAGGCCCGGGCGGGCGCCCGGCGCGGACCTCGCCCGGCGGCCCCTGCGAGGGCATGGGCAAACGTCCACGGCGGCGCCCACTGCGATCGGGGAGACGTAAGACTCGGGCAAGGTCGGGCGTTGGCAAGTACTGGGTTTAGTGGGACCTGGTTTAGTGATGTGTACTTGGGACGCACCCCCCGCCCCGTTCCACTAACCGAAACTGCCGTCGCCCGAAAAAACACCAGCTACGGCAGACCTGGTTTAGTGATTCTGGCCAATTCAAGGGCTCTGGGGCCCTACCACTAACTGGGTTCCCTTACCTGAGATAAGGTGTTACTGCGGCCCGTTGGTTGTTAGTGCGGCCCGGTGGGTGTTAGTA